TTTTAACTCAGGTGTAAGTGTTAGCCTAACAAAAATTTGTTCAGTATTTCTACCCTGGGAGGCAAGCCAATGAGCTGGACGATTACCCTCTCTAGGAATATAATTGATATTGATCATGTGTCTGGGTAGTAGGGCAACTAACAGATTTTTCCATCTGGTTAAATTCCAAGGGGGGGGGGTTTCATCATGAAGAAGGATTTTAATACAATTAGTAGAATCTGTTTCTATAATCAAAGGACCCATATGACAGTAACAAGCAATTCTGATAGCCCAGTAGATAGCTATGAATTCAGCCTCCAGAGCATCCATTGCCGTAGCAGGAGTAGTGAAATACAGAATGGGAGAACCATGCGGGTTCCTGAAGATTCCCCCAATACCAACATAATCATTTGAGAAGCTGCCATCAGTGTTGACCTTCAACCAACCAGTAGAGGAAGGACTCCAAAGGATTAGCTTGAAAGACTGAAGAAGAGGGGTATTGTTTCCTGGAGTCCAGTGCTTTATAACATTAGGGAAATGATGAAACTTGATCAATTTCTGAATATAAGAGATACAATTAATAATCACAGATTTTGACCCTGAAAGCTTCTCATCAAATTTGTTGTGGTTTCTGTACATCCATATGAACCAAGCCACAATACAGGGTATCACCCAAAGGTTGGCCATTCTTCCCAGCTAGTAGAGAATTTAAGCCAGCTTACATTGTGACTATTAATATTCAGGAGCTTGATTAAACCTGACCAAATTTCTTGTGAGAGGGCACATGTGAAAAGCATTCTTGTTAGAGGGCACATGAGAAAAATAGGTGATCCAAGGTTTCTTCAACAGCATAGCAAAGTGGGCAGATTGAAGGCCCTCTCAGCCCTTTCATCTTTAAAATGTCATTATATCATCTGTAGGAAGTAAGGAATGCCAGAGTCTCCAGCAGAAGAAGGACATAGAGGGAGTTAAGAATTTACCCCAAATGGCTTTACCCCAAAGCATCTGATTCCAATTAAAGAAATGATGGTAAATGTAGGCTGATAATTTTTGGGAGTAAGCCTGTTTAGTAATTATTTTGTCTTTGGAAATGGATGAGATAGGAGTATCCTTAACCCACCTCACATGTTCACTGGAAAGAATAGTGTTCAACATTCTGCAGTTCCACTGATTATCAGACCAAGAATCTCTGACTAGACAATTAGTGTTGGGATTGGGGGTGAGGCACTCAAGTTTCTCTCCATTGCTGACCCAGTTATCTAACCAAAAGTTGATAGCCCATCTTCTAGCTCCTAAAGGAAGAGTTCCTCAGCTTTATTTCTAATTTTTAGCAGTTTTGTCCATAGTTTGTAATCCCACATCTTTTTGGATACCAAAGTAGGGTGCAAAAATCAGCAGTATTTCCCTTTTAGAAATCTTGCCCAAAGGCTATCCTGGGACCTGAATCTGATCCATAATTTGTAAAGATTTATGAAACCCAGGTGTTGGAAGTCTTTGAAGCCCATCCCACCAGCTTGCAAAGGTTTACATAATTTCTGCCAAGGGAGCCAGTGAAATTGCTTTCTTTGACCAGACCAGAGAAATTTATTGAAGATCCTTCCAATAGAGTCTTGAGTACCCTTTTTCATAGAGAACATTTGTAGGACATAAGAAGGCATTGCAGTGAGAATACTCCTTAAAACAGTGATCCTCCCACCATTAGAGAGGAATGCGTTAGTCCAATGTTCAAGTTGTGCTTTGATCTGATCAATGACATCCTGGAAATGTGTTTGTCTAGTTCTGCCTTCGAGTAGATGTATTCCAAGATATTTGATGGGGAGGTTGGCATAGCAAAATCTAATGTATTAAGAGATCCAGTGATTGAGCTGAGGTGAGGAGTTTTTATTAATAATAAATTGACATTTTTGTTTGTTAAGTGCCATACCTGCCATACCTGAAGTGTGCTGAAGTATGCTGAAAGTGGAGAAGACATTTATATACACTCCTGACAGAATTCTTGGAAGCATTGGAGAAAATAATTATGTCATCAGCATAAACTAAATGAATTATAAGGATATTAGATCTGTGTTGGAAAGCCAAATGAGGTGAATTAGTAACCAACTTATTCAATTGTCTTGAAAGGTAGTCCAAAGCAAGTATAAAAATGGTTGGAGACAAGGGGTCTCCCTGCTTGATCCCCCTGGTAGCATTGAAGAAGCCATGACACTTGCCATTGATTAGAATTGAAGGTGCATTGCATTTAAGCCATATGTGTATCAAATTTATAAATCCTTCATTGAAGCCTCTAGCAGAAAGAGTATCAAGGATGAATCCCCAGTTAATGGTATCATAGGCTTTGCTTATGTCCAGTTTAAAAATGGCATTTCCTCCTCCACAAATTCTGTCAAGATCTAACAGGAGTTCCTGTGCAAGTAGGATGTTGTCAGTAATATTCCTCCCTTTAATAAAAGCCAGTTGGTTGTCACTAATGAGATGATGAAGATGGGGTTGCAGCCTAAACACAATGATTTTGCTGATTATTTTGGAGATCCCATTGGTTTGGCCGATTGGCCTGTAATCCCCCCAAGTTTTCCTATTTTGGTTCTTTGGTATCAAAGTGATGGTGGAGGCACTAAATTATTTAGGGGGGTCCACACCAAGAAAGAAATTTTGGATAGCAAGCATAATGTCTTGTTTAGTCCTATCCCATGTGGCTTTATAGAAAGTAGATGTATAGCCATCAGGCCCAGCAGCTTTGAGACCATCAATGGAATCTAAGGCTTGTTTTATCTCATCTTCTAAAGGGGTACTAGTGAGATTTAAAATTTGAACATATTGCTGACAGTTAGTGAACATCTCAGTCTCAATTGGGCTTCTAAAATCCAGCTCATTGGTGAACAACTTTTGGAAATGTTGGACTGCATCATAAGCTATATCTTCTGCATTGGTTAACTTCCTGCCATTGATATTGGTTATGTTTAAGATCATGTTACACTTCCTTCCATGATTGATACAAGCATGATAGTAACTAGTATTTCTATCACCATCAGTTAATTTAGTGACAACAGCTTTTTGTTTTAAGAAACATTCATGGTAGCTGATTTGTGCAAG